GAATTGTGGCTGATGGTGCCTGCACGCTAATGGTGCTGCTGTACTTGTGAGAATCCTAAAGAATGACTCAGATACAGCTTCTCAGCTGAAGCTGTTCCTGCTGAAGCTGTTCCTGCTGAAGCTGTTCCTGCTGAAGCTGTTCCTGCTACAGCTACCATTACTGCGGCTGCTGTTGGCGAAGGAAGTCGAATGCAGGGGCGGGAGGGAGGAACTGCGGCGGTGGCACGAGGAACGGGTTGATTGGCGGCACTGCTGCTACCACAGCCGTGGGGGTGAATGGTAGGCTGGGGGTGGGGAGGGGGTGAGGAGGGATGAAGAGGGGTGAACAGTGGTGAAGAGGGGTGTGACAGGCATTGGCGGGGTGTGGATGGGCGTGAAAGGGACATAGTGGACGGGGAATGAGTTGATGGGCGGCACTGCTGCCACCACAGCTGTGGGGGTGAATGGCCGGGATGGGAATGTGGAGGGGTGACGATGGGCAAAGAGGGGTGAAGAGGGGTGTGACAGACATTGGCGGGGTGCATGCGGATGCGTGACTGAGGGCACGAGGGATAGAAGACACTGATGTCCTTGCCATACCATTCACACCACGCTCAACCTTCAAGAACCACTGTTATCCTCGTTATAAGCTCACCCTTCAAACGCCTCAAGCAGTTCAGATTCGTAGTCCTCCCCTGCTCCTCTCAGCTGCTGCAGCACGGCCCTGTCGAACCCCCGGGATCCGTACACCTCGTCCTCAAACCACGAGCACAGGATGGTGAGCTGCGTGAAGTTGAGCGAGGGGCACATCGACACCACCTCCTCCATGGTCTTACGTGCCTTTTGCTTTGAGGTCTGTGGGAAGGGAGGGAGGGGAACAGTAGGAGTGGGGAAGACCAGGAGCACAGGGTGAAGTTGAGCGAGGGGCACATCAACACCACCTCCTCCATGGTCTTACGTGCCTTTTGCTTTGAGGTCTGTGGGAAGGGAGGGAGGGGAACAGTAGGAGTGGGGAAGACCAGGAGCACAGGGTGAAGTTGAGCGAGGGGCACATCGACACCACCTCCTCCATGGTCTTCCGTGCCTTCTGCTTGGAGGTCTGTGCGGGGGGAGCGTGGGAGGAATAGGTGGAGTGGAGGGACGGGCGAAAGCGGGACGGGTGAAAGGGGGAAGACCACGAGCAGAGTATGGAGAGCTGGGTGAAGTTGAGCGCGGGGCACATCGACACCACCATCACATGGAGACCACCTCCTCCATGGTCCTACGTGCTCTTTGTTTGGCTGTCTATAGGGAGGGAGGGGAGGGAGGAAGAGGGAGAGTGGAAGAGGGGAAGAGAGTGGGAAAGGAGGGACCACGAGCACAGGATGGTGAGCCGCGTGAAGTTGGGCGAGGGGCACATCGATACCACCTCCTCCATGCTCCACTGCGCTTGTTGTTTAGCAGTATGGGGGCAAGGGAAAGGGAGAAGAAAGGTAGGGAGGGAGGTCCAGAGGATGGTGGAGTTGAGCGAGGGGAACACTGATACCACCTCCTCCATGCTCCTCCGTGCCTTCTGCTTGGCCGTCTGTAACGGGAGAGGGAGTGTGGGGAAGGGGAAATACCACGAGCACAGGATGGTGAGCTGCGTGAAGTTGAGCGAGGGGCACATCAATACAACCTCCTCCATGCTTCTCCGTGCTTTTTGCTTGGCCGTCTGGGGGCAAGGGAGTGGGAGGGGGGAGGGGAATTGCGGGCAAGGGAGTGGGAAAGGGAGAAACCAGGGAACCACACGCAGACCATGGTGAGCTGCTCTGTCGTCAGTGAGACTCAAATGAGACTGAAAAACGCACCCACCAGCACAAGATCGAGTGCCTAGCAACTCACCAGCAGCACCACTGCCTGGTATGTATGCTGTAGGGCGTCTATCAGCCACGCCCGCATTGATATATCATGACAGAAAGGTGCCCTTACTCACCAGCAGCAGCACATGTGCCCTGCAACTCACCAGCAGCACCACTGCCTGGTATGTATGCTGTAGGGCGTCTATCAGCCACGCCCGCATTGATATATCATGACAGAAAGGTGCCCTCACTCACCAGCAGCAGCACATGTGCCCTGCAACTCACCAGCAGCCCCACTTCCTGGTATGTATGCTGTAGGGCGTCTATCAGCATCGCCCGTGACCCTCCCCCCACGCTTCCAGCAGCAGTGCCCGCTCCGAGGCTCCCCACGCTCCTGCTCATGCCCATGCCCGCTGCTGCTCCATCCAGTGCCCCCACCACTCACCAGCAATACCACTGCCTGGTACGTGTGTTGAAGAGCGTCAATCAGCATCGCCCGTGACCCTCCTCCCCCCACGCTTCCAGCAGCAGTGCCTGCTCCGAGGCTCCCCACGCTCCTGCTCATGCCCATGCCCGCTGCTGCCCCATCCAGCCACGGGTGCACGTGCTCTGACAGCCATGCTTCCAGCGCCAGCAGCCCTTGCTCCATGGCCTCCCCGTTGGCGAGTGTGATGGGACACCAGTGGCTTCGCAGCATGAGGCTGTTGGGGTGAGGGGGCAAGCATGAAGGAAGGAGAGAAGTAGGTGAGGAGGGGAGGCAGGCAGTGAAGCACGGGTGCACGTGGTGTGCACGCTGCTGCTCCATCCAGCCACGGGTGCACGTGCTCTGACAGCCATGCTTCCAGTGCCAGCAGCCCTTGCTCCGTGGCCTCCCCGTTGGCGAGTGTGATGGGACACCAGTGGCTTCGCAGCATGAGGCTGTTGGGGTGAGGGGGCAAGCATGAAGGAAGGAGAGAAGTAGGTGAGGAGGGGAGGCAGGCAGTGAAGCACGGGTGCACGTGGTGTGCACGCTGCTGCTCCATCCAGCCACGGGTGCACGTGCTCTGACAGCAATGCTTCCAGTGCCAGCAGCCCTTGCTCCGTGGCTTCACCATTGGCGAGTGTGATGGGACACCAGTGGCTTCGCAGCATGAGGCTGTTGGGGTGAGGGGGCAAGCATGAAGGAAGGAGAGAAGTAGGTGAGGAGGGGAGGCAGGCAGTGAAGCACGGGTGCACGTGGTGTGCACGCTGCTGCTCCATCCAGCCACGGGTGCACGTGCTCTGACAGCAATGCTTCCAGTGCCAGCAGCCCTTGCTCCGTGGCTTCACCATTGGCGAGTGTGATGGGACACCAGTGGCTTCGCAGCATGAGGCTGTTGGGGTGAGGGGGCAAGCATGAAGGAAGGAGAGAAGTAGGTGAGGAGGGGAGGCAGGCAGTGAAGCACGGGTGCACGTGGTGTGCACGCTGCTGCTCCATCCAGCCACGGGTGCACGTGCTCTGACAGCAATGCTTCCAGTGCCAGCAGCCCTTGCTCCGTGGCTTCACCATTGGCGAGTGTGATGGGACACCAGTGGCTTCGCAGCATGAGGCTGTTGGGGTGAGGGGGCAAGCATGAAGGAAGGAGAGAAGTAGGTGAGGAGGGGAGGCAGGCAGTGAAGCACGGGTGCACGTGGTGTGCACGCTGCTGCTCCATCCAGCCACGGGTGCACGTGCTCTGACAGCAATGCTTCCAGTGCCAGCAGCCCTTGCTCCGTGGCTTCACCATTGGCGAGTGTGATGGGACACCAGTGGCTTCGCAGCATGAGGCTGTTGGGGTGAGGGGGCAAGCATGAAGGAAGGAGAGAAGTAGGTGAGGAGGGGAGGCAGGCAGTGAAGCACGGGTGCACGTGGTGTGCACGCTGCTGCTCCATCCAGCCACGGGTGCACGTGCTCTGACAGCAATGCTTCCAGTGCCAGCAGCCCTTGCTCCGTGGCTTCACCATTGGCGAGTGTGATGGGACACCAGTGGCTTCGCAGCATGAGGCTGTTGGGGTGAGGGGGCAAGCATGAAGGAAGGAGAGAAGTAGGTGAGGAGGGGAGGCAGGCAGTGAAGCACGGGTGCACGTGGTGTGCACGCTGCTGCTCCATCCAGCCACGGGTGCACGTGCTCTGACAGCAATGCTTCCAGTGCCAGCAGCCCTTGCTCCGTGGCTTCACCATTGGCGAGTGTGATGGGACACCAGTGGCTTCGCAGCATGAGGCTGTTGGGGTGAGGGGGCAAGCATGAAGGAAGGAGAGAAGTAGGTGAGGAGGGGAGGCAGGCAGTGAAGCACGGGTGCACGTGGTGTGCACGCTGCTGCTCCATCCAGCCACGGGTGCACGTGCTCTGACAGCAATGCTTCCAGTGCCAGCAGCCCTTGCTCCGTGGCTTCACCATTGGCGAGTGTGATGGGACACCAGTGGCTTCGCAGCATGAGGCTGTTGGGGTGAGGGGGCAAGCATGAAGGAAGGAGAGAAGTAGGTGAGGAGGGGAGGCAGGCAGTGAAGCACGGGTGCACGTGGTGTGCACGCTGCTGCTCCATCCAGCCACGGGTGCACGTGCTCTGACAGCAATGCTTCCAGTGCCAGCAGCCCTTGCTCCGTGGCTTCACCATTGGCGAGTGTGATGGGACACCAGTGGCTTCGCAGCATGAGGCTGTTGGGGTGAGGGGGCAAGCATGAAGGAAGGAGAGAAGTAGGTGAGGAGGGGAGGCAGGCAGTGAAGCACGGGTGCACGTGGTGTGCACGCTGCTGCTCCATCCAGCCACGGGTGCACGTGCTCTGACAGCAATGCTTCCAGTGCCAGCAGCCCTTGCTCCGTGGCTTCACCATTGGCGAGTGTGATGGGACACCAGTGGCTTCGCAGCATGAGGCTGTTGGGGTGAGGGGGCAAGCATGAAGGAAGGAGAGAAGTAGGTGAGGAGGGGAGGCAGGCAGTGAAGCACGGGTGCACGTGGTGTGCACGCTGCTGCTCCATCCAGCCACGGGTGCACGTGCTCTGACAGCAATGCTTCCAGTGCCAGCAGCCCTTGCTCCGTGGCTTCACCATTGGCGAGTGTGATGGGACACCAGTGGCTTCGCAGCATGAGGCTGTTGGGGTGAGGGGGCAAGCATGAAGGAAGGAGAGAAGTAGGTGAGGAGGGGAGGCAGGCAGTGAAGCACGGGTGCACGTGGTGTGCACGCTGCTGCTCCATCCAGCCACGGGTGCACGTGCTCTGACAGCAATGCTTCCAGTGCCAGCAGCCCTTGCTCCGTGGCTTCACCATTGGCGAGTGTGATGGGACACCAGTGGCTTCGCAGCATGAGGCTGTTGGGGTGAGGGGGCAAGCATGAAGGAAGGAGAGAAGTAGGTGAGGAGGGGAGGCAGGCAGTGAAGCACGGGTGCACGTGGTGTGCACGCTGCTGCTCCATCCAGCCACGGGTGCACGTGCTCTGACAGCAATGCTTCCAGTGCCAGCAGCCCTTGCTCCGTGGCTTCACCATTGGCGAGTGTGATGGGACACCAGTGGCTTCGCAGCATGAGGCTGTTGGGGTGAGGGGGCAAGCATGAAGGAAGGAGAGAAGTAGGTGAGGAGGGGAGGCAGGCAGTGAAGCACGGGTGCACGTGGTGTGCACGCTGCTGCTCCATCCAGCCACGGGTGCACGTGCTCTGACAGCAATGCTTCCAGTGCCAGCAGCCCTTGCTCCGTGGCTTCACCATTGGCGAGTGTGATGGGACACCAGTGGCTTCGCAGCATGAGGCTGTTGGGGTGAGGGGGCAAGCATGAAGGAAGGAGAGAAGTAGGTGAGGAGGGGAGGCAGGCAGTGAAGCACGGGTGCACGTGGTGTGCACGCTGCTGCTCCATCCAGCCACGGGTGCACGTGCTCTGACAGCAATGCTTCCAGTGCCAGCAGCCCTTGCTCCGTGGCTTCACCATTGGCGAGTGTGATGGGACACCAGTGGCTTCGCAGCATGAGGCTGTTGGGGTGAGGGGGCAAGCATGAAGGAAGGAGAGAAGTAGGTGAGGAGGGGAGGCAGGCAGTGAAGCACGGGTGCACGTGGTGTGCACGCTGCTGCTCCATCCAGCCACGGGTGCACGTGCTCTGACAGCAATGCTTCCAGTGCCAGCAGCCCTTGCTCCGTGGCTTCACCATTGGCGAGTGTGATGGGACACCAGTGGCTTCGCAGCATGAGGCTGTTGGGGTGAGGGGGCAAGCATGAAGGAAGGAGAGAAGTAGGTGAGGAGGGGAGGCAGGCAGTGAAGCACGGGTGCACGTGGTGTGCACGCTGCTGCTCCATCCAGCCACGGGTGCACGTGCTCTGACAGCAATGCTTCCAGTGCCAGCAGCCCTTGCTCCGTGGCTTCACCATTGGCGAGTGTGATGGGACACCAGTGGCTTCGCAGCATGAGGCTGTTGGGGTGAGGGGGCAAGCATGAAGGAAGGAGAGAAGTAGGTGAGGAGGGGAGGCAGGCAGTGAAGCACGGGTGCACGTGGTGTGCACGCTGCTGCTCCATCCAGCCACGGGTGCACGTGCTCTGACAGCAATGCTTCCAGTGCCAGCAGCCCTTGCTCCGTGGCTTCACCATTGGCGAGTGTGATGGGACACCAGTGGCTTCGCAGCATGAGGCTGTTGGGGTGAGGGGGCAAGCATGAAGGAAGGAGAGAAGTAGGTGAGGAGGGGAGGCAGGCAGTGAAGCACGGGTGCACGTGGTGTGCACGCTGCTGCTCCATCCAGCCACGGGTGCACGTGCTCTGACAGCAATGCTTCCAGTGCCAGCAGCCCTTGCTCCGTGGCTTCACCATTGGCGAGTGTGATGGGACACCAGTGGCTTCGCAGCATGAGGCTGTTGGGGTGAGGGGGCAAGCATGAAGGAAGGAGAGAAGTAGGTGAGGAGGGGAGGCAGGCAGTGAAGCACGGGTGCACGTGGTGTGCACGCTGCTGCTCCATCCAGCCACGGGTGCACGTGCTCTGACAGCAATGCTTCCAGTGCCAGCAGCCCTTGCTCCGTGGCTTCACCATTGGCGAGTGTGATGGGACACCAGTGGCTTCGCAGCATGAGGCTGTTGGGGTGAGGGGGCAAGCATGAAGGAAGGAGAGAAGTAGGTGAGGAGGGGAGGCAGGCAGTGAAGCACGGGTGCACGTGGTGTGCACGCTGCTGCTCCATCCAGCCACGGGTGCACGTGCTCTGACAGCAATGCTTCCAGTGCCAGCAGCCCTTGCTCCGTGGCTTCACCATTGGCGAGTGTGATGGGACACCAGTGGCTTCGCAGCATGAGGCTGTTGGGGTGAGGGGGCAAGCATGAAGGAAGGAGAGAAGTAGGTGAGGAGGGGAGGCAGGCAGTGAAGCACGGGTGCACGTGGTGTGCACGCTGCTGCTCCATCCAGCCACGGGTGCACGTGCTCTGACAGCAATGCTTCCAGTGCCAGCAGCCCTTGCTCCGTGGCTTCACCATTGGCGAGTGTGATGGGACACCAGTGGCTTCGCAGCATGAGGCTGTTGGGGTGAGGGGGCAAGCATGAAGGAAGGAGAGAAGTAGGTGAGGAGGGGAGGCAGGCAGTGAAGCACGGGTGCACGTGGTGTGCACGCTGCTGCTCCATCCAGCCACGGGTGCACGTGCTCTGACAGCAATGCTTCCAGTGCCAGCAGCCCTTGCTCCGTGGCTTCACCATTGGCGAGTGTGATGGGACACCAGTGGCTTCGCAGCATGAGGCTGTTGGGG